GCACAAGTATTGAGTCAGATTCTGGGTATGTGTTGATTAAGTTGGACACAATGGCAGATTTGACATCTTTCACAAGTGTTGTATCTGTCACTCACTTTCATAGATTCCAGGATGGTGTGTTCCAGTGGCAGTTGGCAGCCGTTCAGTGCTCAACAGAGTTGTGACCATTTTCAGTAGTTTGAGAACCTGAATGATGTCCTCAGCTACTTTTACAACTTCATCAGACAGAGTAACAATCTCCGTAATGTTCCTCTTAATACTCCTGTCTGTAAGTGTTGAGAAAACAGCAGTCTTCTGTTCAAGATAGTGCTCAAGCATGTCATAGCTTGAATTCCACCTGGTGGGAACATCCTGTATCAGCTTGTGTGGAGGCCGTTGGAGCATCGCTTTTGTCCTTGAGCACTGCTGCCCAGCGGGCAGCTGCTGCCTTACCGTCCGCTGGCCGCAGCGCCCCAGCCTGCTCGTCGCCGAGGGCGGCCCCCTGCGTCCGCCCCCACTCCCACAGCAGCCTCCAGCCAAGCAGCGCCATGGAGCCGGGCGTAAGCAGGCTATGTGATTCAGTTTGCCCGGCGTCCCCCCAAGTTCGGTGGCATTTGCTTCACAGCAGTGAAGGCGGCCGATGCTCCTGTCTTGCGTGCGGAGATCGCAGTCCTACTGGCGAAGAGCCGGTCCCTCCAGCTGATATGAAGACGCTGTTTTACAGCCCCTACTTCATTGTACCCAAGAAAGGCGGTGGGTTACGACCAATCTTGGACCTGCGTGTCTTGAACCGGGCCCTTCACCGGTTATGGTTCAAGATGTTGACGCAGAAACGCATCTTCGGGTGCATCCGTCAGCGATCGACCTGAAGGACGCATACTTTCATGTGTCGATCCTTCGATGCCACAGACCATTTCTGCGGTTCGCGTTCGGACGACGTGCATATCAGTACAAGGTCCTGCCCTTCGGGCTGTCCCCATCTCCCCGTGTCTTCACGAAAGTTGCGGAGGGGGCTCTTGCTCCCCTCAGAGAGCAGAGTGTTCGCATCCTTAACTATCTCGACGATTGGCTTATACTAGCACAGTCTCAGGATCAGTTGTGCGAACACAGGGACCAGTTGGGTCTTCGGGTCAACTGGGAAAAGAGCAAACTCTCCCCGACACAAAGGATCTCTTTTCTCGGTATGGAGTTGGATTCGGTCGAACAGACAGCACACCTCACAGAGGAACGTGCACGGTCGATGCTGAACTGCTTGAATTCATTCAAGGGCAGGACAGTGGTCCCACTGAAACAATTTCAGAGGCTCCTGGGGCATATGGCAGCTGCAGCGGCAGTTACACCGCTAGGACTGCTTCATATGAGAACGCTTCAGCACTGGCTTCATGGCCGAGTCCCGAGGTGGGAGTGGCAGCGCGGCACTCACCGGGTCCAAGTTACACCGGCCTGTTGCCAAACCTTCACCCCGTGGTCAGACCTTACGTTCCTCCAGGCAGGAGTGCCCCTAGAACAGGTCTCCAGGCATGCTGTGGTTTACACTGATGCCTCTACGACTGGCTGGGGGGCCATGTACAACGGGCACACAGTGTCGAGGGTATGGACGGGCCCCTAACTGCACTGGCATATCAATTGCCTAGAGTTGTTAGCAGTGCGCCTTGCCTTGAACCGTCTCAAAGGGTACTTACGAAGCAAGTACGTGCTGGTCCAAACGGACAACACGGCGACTGTTGCGTAGTTGCCTAGAGTTGTTAGCGGTGTGCCTTGCCTTGAACCGCCTCAAAGGGCGCTTACGAGGCAAGCACATGCTGGTCCGGACAGACAGCACGGCGACCGTTGCGTACATCAACCAACAAGGTGGTCTATGCTCCTGTCGCATGTCGCAACTCACCCGCCATCTCCTCCTTTGGAGTCGGAAGGTTCTGAGGTTACTTCGTGCCATTCACATTCCGGGTCTGCTCAACGAGCTATCACGAGCTGCGCTCCCAGGAGAATGGAGGTCCAGCTGATATGGAGACGTTTCAGAGATGCTCAGGTAGACCTGTTTGCCTCTCCAGAAACCTCTCACTGCCAGTTGTTCTCCCCGACCGAGGGAAGACTTGGCACGGACGCACTGGCACACAGCTGGCCGCGGGGCCTGCACAAGTATGCGTTTCCCCCAGCGAGCCTTCTCGCACAGACGCTGTGCAAGGTCAGGGAGGACAAGGAGCAGGTCCTGCTTGTGGCGCCGTATTGGCCCTCTCGCACCTGGTTCCCAGAACTAATGCTCCTCGTGACAGCCCCTCCGTGGCAGATTTCTCTGAGGAAGGATCTGCTGACTCAGAGACGGGGCACCCTATGGCACCTGCGTCCAAACCTCTGGAAACTTCATGTCTGGCGGAGGTTCTAGGTGACCTACCCAAGGAGGTAGTTTACACCATCACTTCGTCGAGAGCACTGTCTACGAGACATGCTTACACCTTGAAGTGGAACCTGTTCGTCGAGTGGTGTTCTTCGAGAAGACCCCCGGAGATTCCCGATCAGGGTCGTGCTTTCCTTTTTGCAGCAAGGGTTGGAGCGATGGCTGTCTCCCTCCACCCTTAAAGTCTGTGTCGCTGCGATTGCTGCTAACCATGACCCCATGAAAGGGAAGTCGGTAGGGAAGCATGACCTGGTCATCAGGTTCCTTAGGGGGGCGAGAAGGTTAAATCCACCCCGGCCCCCCTCTATACCCTCTTGAGACCTGTCTCTAGTGCTCAAAGCACTACAGCAGGGCCCGTTTGAGCCTTTGCAGTCAGTTGAGCTGAAGTTTCTATCAATGAAATCAACTCGTGCCTAGAGTTTGGGCCGGCTGACTCACAGGTAATCCTGAGGCCCCGGCCCGGCTATGTGCCCCAGGTTCCCACTACTCCCTTCAGGGATCAGGTGATGAGCCTGCAAGTGCTGCCCCCGGAGGAGGCAGACCCAGCCCTAGCTTTGCTTTGTCCTGTCCGAGGCTTGAGATGGTACGTAGACCGGACACAAAGCTTTAGGACCTCAGACCAGTTCTTTGTCTGTTACAGAGGCCGGCAGAAGTGGAGTGCCGTCTCTAAGCAGAGGATGGGGCACTGGATAGTGGATGCCATCACCCTGGCTTATTAGTGCATCCTCGTGGGCGCTGGCTCATGGCGCCTTGCTGACAGATATTTGTAGAGCTACGGGCTGTGCGACCCCCAACACGTTCGCTAGGTTCTATAGCCTTCGTGTGGAGCCGGTATCCTCCTGTGTTCTCACCTCAAACGGGTAGAGCCACTGAGAGGCCCCGGTTTAGTGTCGGCTTGCTAAAACCGCTCCAGAGAGTCTGTACTGTAGACCCTGTCGAGCTCCTCCGTCCCCTTGGCAGCCAGACGTGGGGGAACGTCTGGTGCCAGGCCCTCACTCGATGAATCCGTGAGAACCGGTAGAGGGCTGGGTTCCATATGTAGAGACCTAAGTGGTTCCCATATGTGTAAAGTCCATGGTATAGCCTCAGAGCCCGTGTTTCCCCGGCAGACTTCTGCCATTTCCAAGAGGGTTACAATCACCTCTAATCTTCCATATGCACCTAAACGGTTGTTCATATGTGTAAGTGCTTCCGAAACCTCCTTCGGGAAGGATGGGGCTTCCGCAACATTCCTGTTCTGAGTGGAGCGGGTGCGTTTCCCCAGTGTTATCCAATCTCACTGAGTGGGTAGTGCTACGATAACAGTGACTGGCCTTCTTGTTGTGAGCCCCGGCCTACACCAAAAAGGGGTGCAGGGGGCACGCACAAGACACTGGAAGGGGCAGCAGCATTATTGGCGCTTTGGTAGGGATCCCAATTCGTCGGTCACAACGTGAATCGTAGTGACCGACTGAAAGGGAACATCTCGGTTACGTATGGAACCCTCGTTCCCTGAAGGAGGGAACGGAGACGTCACGTCCCGTCGCCACAACTGCTGTACCACCACTGAGCGGCCGGGTTACCGGCTCGGCTCCTCAGCGAAAACCTGGTATGCGTTGCACCTGCTGCCTTTTTGTGCTCACACTGTGATCAGCGGCAGCTGGATGCCATCATCGCATGCCAATGTCCATTGACTTGTTTAGTTTACACTCTAAGTAGATTGGTCTCTCGAAGCGAGATCCCAATTCGTCTGTCACGATGTGACGTCTCCGTTCCCTCCTTCAGGAAACGAGAGTTACATACGTAACGGAGATGTTTTAACTTAACTTAAATTTAGTTCTAAACAGCACAAAAACAAAAATTATGTGGTTTGGAAAAAAACAAGACATTATATCTTTGGATATAAAATTGAAGTAGTATCTTCATACAAATGTCTCAGAATCTGGCTTGATAGTCCTTTAAATTTTACTAATCACATATCAGCCAAGAAACATCTTGTTGAAACCACTGTTTTACCCTTGTTTGACTATGGTGATGTGGTATATAGAAATGCACGTAAAGGTGTTCTGGAACAATTAGATGTGTTGTACCATGCAGCAATTAGATTGATAACTAATGCACCTTACAGAACGCATCATTGTGAATTATACTCTCTTTTGAATTGGACATAATTGCATACAAGACGGGAAATTCACTGGTATATCTTTATTTACAAAGTTCTTCTGGGCTTATTACCTGAATATCTTTAAAAGTTGCTGCAACTTCATATTAATACATACATCTAGATCATCTAATTATTTTTCTTTGACTATCCCTAGAAAGAAAACTACTTATGGTCGTTCCGCTTTTGAATTTTCTGCCCCAAATGATTGGAATGTGCTACAAAAGCTATTGAAACTAGAGACAAATATTTCAGTCTTTGCATTTAAAAAATTACTAGTGAGTGCTTTAACCTCGACCTGTAAATGTTTTAACTGAGTTTTTTATTTTGATTTATTTATTTTATGTGCCTTATGTGTATTGTAATGTATGTTCGTATGTCTTTCGGGAGATATTTATTCTCCTGCCAGGCTGTTATTGAAAATAAGAACCTGTTCTTAATGACTTGCCTGGTTAAATAAAGGTTAAATGAAATTGTTCTCTACAGGTTCAGGGATTGTGGTGTCACATATGAAGGTTGTGCTGCTCTGGCTTCAGCTCTGAGATCAGACCCCTCACACCTGAGAGAACTGGATCTGACTGGAAATAAATTAAGAGACTCAGATGTGAAGCTGCTCTCTGATCTGAAGGATAATCCACATTATAAATTGGAAACGCTTAAGTGAGTAGTGATGTTGTTTGAATTATAATAGAAAGTTGATTCAGTTTCTTCTTAGGTTACTCTCTTGGTAATAGTTACTTACAGACATCTTTAATAAGAGTTTGATTCTGTTTATAGTATGAATTAAGTACTGTATCTTAATGTTTTTTTTATTTCAAACAATACATTATTTCACTTTTATTACTGACTGTTTACATGCACACTCATTATGCGATTATAATGAGATTTAGGCAATATTGTGATTAAAATGTATCTCATGTAAACAATACTTTGATCAAATTTGTTATTAAGCTCATAATTGTAGTAACCATGTTCATAGTATAATATGTGACGTATGCCAATTTTAATCAAAACAAACGGGCATGTAAACACCTTAATCACTTTCAAATCACTGAACTCTGTCAAGAACTCGCTGCCACCAGTCTGCTACTTATCTTCATCCAGAGCCAGCATGAAGAATGCAATGGAAACCCCGTTTACAGTGCCATTATCACATTTTAATTTCATCACAGTGCCGAATAACCATCCAGTACATCCATAGAAATGTGTTTAGCGTTTGACTTAAGTAGATTAAAACAGCGGCCAGTAACACATCTACTGTATGGGAGTTCGTAATTTGTATTATACATTGAGGTATAATAGCAGTAAAACTAACCACACTTCTTAGTGAATGATCACAATAATGAAAACAGCATGTAAACAGGAGTGATGTTTGCTCATGTCATGTAAAAATCTTAGTGATTTTGTCCTTACATTATTGGTGCACATATAAACATAGTTGTTGTCTTTTTATACCTGAAATTAAGTATTTTGAGAAAATCTAAAGTGGACAATGCAGTAATGTCACACACATTTGACTGTCTGTGTTTTACTTTCAGGTTTTAGATGTTAGTCTGACCTTCTCTGGATCAGCTGATGGTGAATAAAGAGACACTACAGACAGACATCACATTCAACAGAATCAACAGACACAAACCCATAGCGATCATCACACACGTGTTTGTGTAACTTTCCAGAATCATCCGATTGTTAATTCAAAGTCAAACAATGAAACCTGAAACCTATTTATTCTTATAAACAATCTTACATTACAATATTATCAGTTGTTTGTGAAATTCATGATGGGCTTGGGCTAGTATAAAAAAAATAATAATAACTTAAGGTCTTTCCAACATTAAGGTACTCCTGCTTTTTTTTTTTAAATCATCTTGTCACAGTTACAAATTTGACTGGTAAATGATAAAGAATGATGGCCCCCTTTGTATTGCATTGCATTGCATATCAGGGATGACAGATTGATAAAAAGGACATGCTATTTATGACTGGATGTAACTTTTGATACTTCGCGGTAAAAGTGGCTCTCCGACTGACTGCCCTATTAGTGCGGCTCCCATGAAAAAAATAGTGAAGACCACTGATGTAGGCTAAAACCAACAAACGTAATCGTAATTTATTTTCTCATTGTCACTAAAAGATGTCTGAAATAAACATTTTAAAACTTAACATTGTGTATGGCTTGAATTACAATGAATGTGATGTTCTTTGGCTGAAGTTTTAGGCTATTTTGCGTTATCAAAAGTGCAGGGATCGATTTCTGTCTTTTAAAAAAACTGCGGGGGTCAAGACCACCCTGCAGGCCCGGTCTTCTGTCGATTTGTGCTACCCTGTCAGATTTTGCTACCTCCCATTAAAACAGTGGGTAGTACGATTCGACAACGAAAAATGCTACCTGTAAAATTATGGTTTATTAACGTCTTCACCTACCCCAACCCTAAACCTACCCTTACAGTAATGCAAATACAGTAATTATGTGTTATATTCACGGTTGTTGTTAGAAGGGATACAGCTACAGGAAACGAACAATAAATAATCTTTTCTACCTATTACATTGTGTTTTACCCCAATCCTAAACCTACCCTTACAGTAATGCAGATGCATTAAATATTGTTGTTCAGCGTGAGAAGGACGCAGTATTGATGTGCGCATGCGCAGTAAACCCTGGTAGGACAATCTGACGGGGAGGATAAAATATCAGGACACCTGTTCTACGAGCACAATCAACCGAAATCAATAGCACCCTCAGATGAGCGGAGATATTTTGCATCCCCTTCAGGTGAGAGTAGTTCTCAGTGCCGCCGACTTGCATTTCTTTGGTAAAATATAGGTGTGTGTATGTTTTATTTAATCTATAAAAACTGTTTCTTAGATGTAAATCATTTTATTTTATGCAAAGCAAACTAAAGAGACGCAATGTCAGTCACCTAAACGAGTTGCATCGGTCTTTTCGCGACGATTAAATGTGTATTTTTACTTCTAAAATGCTTGTTTAAACGAGTTTAAATGTAAGAAATATTGTATACATTTTTAAATGGTCAAATATTTTGTATTTAAGAACTGTAACGAAAATTAAGGCAATTAGGCAAAGAAAGAAAGAAAGAAAGTCAAAAAAGTCAAAATAAATTAAAAACTAAAACGAAACGAAACAACACTTTTTGAAAACCTTACTGAAATAAAATAATAACTAATCGTTTTCGTAATCATTATGTGTCACAGTGTCTAGGTGGTGTGCCCATGTATAGCCACCAGAGGGCACGCTTAGTTTTGTTACTTTGGACTTCATTTCCCATCATCCTTTGCTCTCTCAATCCGATCTCTGTGTGTGATTTAGTCTTGTTAGCTCCTCTATACCGTGTTCTGTGTGTCTTTTGTTGCTGCAGTATTGAGTTCTGTTATCTGGTTTTCTGTTCTCAGTTTTTGCGGTTTCCATTTGTGAATTACCTTTTCTATGTTTTTCTGCTTTTGTCCCATAGACTGTAAAAAATATGGATGACGCCTCCCTTATTCCTTCCACTATAGAAAAGTGAAGCCAAAGCATCTCAGTATGGCCGCTGCCATCTTGAGTAAATTACGTCATTTGGAGCCAGAGTCTGCGCAGTAGAGATTCGTTTGGAGCCAGAGTCTGCGCAGTAGAGATTCGTTTGGAGCCAGAGTCTGCGCAGTAGAGATTCGTTTGGAGCCAGAGTCTGCGCAGTAGAGATTCGTTTGGAGCCAGAGTCTGCGCAGTAGAGATTCGTTTGGAGCCAGAGTCTGCGCAGTAGAGATTCGTTTGGAGCCAGAGTCTGCGC